AGATTACTTCAGGCGTGAGAACTGTAGATGATGGCGGCTGATCTTTAATCACTCGAACTGTAGATGGTGGCGGCAGATCTGGAAGTCTGGGCGATCTCTCCTTTTCAGATCTAATGGTCCCGCTCTGATACCATGTTATCAGTGCAGTGATGAAGGAGAAAAGAAGAGGAAGAAAGAGGAGAGAGAGCAGAAGAGAGAGGAAATATTTGAGAGTCAAAAAGCATGCTGGCAGCGCCAACTATTTGTTATATATACTAGGGCAACAGCAACTAAAAAGATAAAAGGTAAAAGTACAATAGTACCCCTGCAGTACTATACTTGGGAAAAATAACAGCTTTCAACAATAGTAAACTCACAGATTACTATTTTTAGTAATTTTTGGTGTCTTTAAATTAAGCTAGTCTTAGTGGGATTAGGAAAGTGTTATTAGAGTTGTTTTAGTAATTAGAGTCCTCATTGGAGTGTTTTTATGGGTCATCTATTGATTTGTCATGGTATTAAAACAATTAGGAGATGTTTTGGGTCAGTTTCCTAATCCAAATTGGAGACTGTAAAGGGATATCCGAGTTAATAAGTTGAGTCTATAAATAGAGTCAGTGTAATTGGAGTTAACGAGAGTGATTTGATGAAATAAAGATTGGTTCGGTGAATTCTGGTTGTTGCTAGAAAATTTTCTCTTTTTTCCCCTCTTTCTCTTATTTCTTCTTCTTCTTCTAAGCTATCTCTATCTCTTTGGTGTTTACACTGACAGCATGCATTCTACTTGCTTCTTCATCCATATCCTTCATCTCTAATCACCCACAACCCCTCATTCACCCCACAAAGCTCACCACCCAATAACCCTTGCCTTGTCCTATATCATTGGTGTAGATTGATTGACAACCCAATAACCCTTTTACACAGGGGTAGCAATTTCTGCCAACTCTCTTGACTCACCCAACCCATCCACCTGTAACCACCCAAAACCATTCACATGGTCGAGCACCCCCATAGTTAGTGGGTTGTAGACAGATTGATAAACCACTTAAATTTGGTCAAATTTAAGTGGATGGATATGGTTGGGTGATGGTTACCCGTTGCAATCTCTCATCTTTATAGTCTAGGTAGGACATAACTCCAAGAATTGATCTTTTAGCCTGTGAGTAACATTTGCCAATTATTTAAGCAGGCTATTAACTCATGCTCTTGATGTGAATGATTGTATGCTTTCTGTAGAGATGATGGGCTGAATGGGCCATAGGACATTGGTATTTTATTTATTTCTGTCCATGTTTTATTTGTTAGTTAGTGGGCCTTAGTTATGGGCCTGTTTATTTCTTTCATTACTGTTTTTAGTGCTGGTTTCCCTACTAAGGGTATACATGTAATTATACCTTTTTTACAATGAAAGATATACAAGATAATTGTGGGGGCTGGAAAGAGGTTTGAATTATTCTCTTCCTTCTTCCCTTTTTCTTCCATCTACTTTCTCCATTGTTTTCTCTCTTCCATCTTCTTCTTCTCTTCTATTTTCTATTTTATTTCAGATTATTACAGGTGGGGTCTACATCTCTTTCAAGTCAGTCCAAAAGTAAGAGTAGAGGTGGACTTAACAAAGCCATCATACCTTAGACACAAAATTAATGAATAAAAGAGCCAAAGAGATTTTTGTTCCTAATACTACAATCAACAAAGACATGAAAAATTAAAACCAGACTCTGATCTGGGCATGGCCCATCTATCTTCCTTTCTATGGTAGATATGGTATGTGATGGAAAAACCATTGGATTGGAATATTTATATCTCCAAGGTTAATGATATATGAGAAAAGGCTTTTATTAAAGATTATGAACTTTGTTAAAGAAACTGTTGATTGCTGGTTGCTTTCCCATGATCAGAGTTTTGGAGTTAGATCCCTTTCAGCATGCCAAACAAGATTCATTTTCCCTATCAGACATATCTGAGTTTTTCAGTTTGATTCCTTTCAGTTTCAGTTAATTTCCTTCTAATTATTTCATCTCTTTCTTCTTGGATTGATAGACAAGATTCATTTTCTTGGCTTGATCTCTGGTTGCTTTCCCATGTAGGGTTTAGACAAAATTCTTTTGAATTGCTAGCTTTTTACTTGTTTGGAGAAGTACATATTCATTCAAGAGTAAGGATTCATTTATTCGAACAACTTGTGTTGTTCCTTCAAGTTAATCTTTCCTGAGCATGGTCCAAAGGTGTTCACTGAATTGTTTGATTGTGAGATTATTTTTTTTCTTTTTAATAATTAATAGAATGGAAATTACGATTTTGTGATAAGTTGAGATTGATGCTGGTATGCTGTTGAAATAAGAACAAGAGTGGGAAGATAATAGGATTAGAAAAAAGTGATGTAGTTGGGAGTCCTGTTAGTCTCACACATGTGAGTCTTTGTCTCATGTAGTGGGATAGGTGGAGTGTGATGTTGAGAGCATTGTTTGGAGCAGATCCGGTTGTTGAATAATGAATATCGAAACCTATGCCCCTGAAACTTGGGGAACTCTTATGTATTGATAGCCTCCTTAACGCTGTCACCCTGTTAACACCTCCTCTAACCTACTTCTATGCTTGAAATTTCTTGCATTTCTTTATCCCCCATAATGCCAAAGAAAACAAAACTGCTAATGGTGTCAATTCATACCACATTTACTTCTTTTGCTTAAACATAATCACAACTTCCATACACCCAAGAATTCTTCCACAGATTTGTAGTTCCTTTGACAGTGAGAAACAAATGGGACTGTTTCTGAGTGTTCCAAGCATAGTCCACAGACTTCGTTGTTCAGCTCCAGCACCATACCTCTCCTTTTTGAGGTTATCAATTGTTAAACTCTTTTCCAATGTCCTATTCTCTTTAATACTAAATTACTAATACCTTGCTTGGTGTGGATTTTTGAGAATATGTAGTGGAGAAATTTTCCAAATGATTCTTAAGAGGGTAGATGAGGTCTTCCGCTTGATTGGCATGTAATTGCAAAACTACAAAAAGTTTGGTGAAAAACTCAAAAACACTAATTTTAACCCTCAAATCTTTATAACAGTGAAGAATGGAGGTCTGCCAGCTACTTATTGTTTCCATTTGTAGGCTTTATTTTTACCCCTTCACCTTTATCTTCATTTATTTTATTTCAATGAAGCATCTCACTAGCCATTTATCCTCCCACACCCATGCCTGCAAAAAGGAAACAAGTAAAAGTTTGGTTCACTGCCCTTCATTCCTAAGCTTGAAGATATGTGTGCATCTGATTCAGTCAGAATTTTTGAGATATGGAGCTTGAGCACAATATAATTGCAAACAACTGAAAAGGAAAACAAATGGAGGACAAAGGACATACCAATTCCCATGTAGTGGTTGTTAGAGTCAATTTCATGTCAAACTGGTATCCTGGAATCACAGGTTGGATCAAGGCCAATTTTAATTGATTAACTTTCTCATTATTTTTGATAGGCAATTGTTCAACCTAAACAGAGGTAGATATGCTTAGCTAAAGAGAAAACAAGTGGATGGAGTCAAACTAGCTCAAGCCACTAGGCCCAACTAAGGCATGAAGACGAGGAGATTATGACATGACTCTAGTCTCTACTCTCTAGTATAAGTGTATAACAATGTTTAGCCTTTCATGAGCAAATAACTGTTAGCAAGGCCTCTAGGTTGGTGAGGCTGCATTGGCATATGATGACACTGTTATTGGCCTTGGGGCTTGGGGTAGCTTCTTTGGTGAAATTCAGATGTTTAAACATTTAGCTCTTCGTGCTTTAAGCATAAACTCTCTAGTAACTTAGTAGGGATAGGAGAGACAATATGAAAGCCAATCTCAAAGAACCTTGATGGGCTGGGTGCTCATGTGAGTCATTGTACTTTTGGTCCTCCTATTATATTGTGTGTGTGTGTGTGTGTGTTCCATTCCAAAAGCTTTTCATGAGAAACTTTGTAATTTTGCTCATAAACTCTTGAAGGAATAGATGCCCTTGCTTGCAACTAGTGGGGGTGGGGTGGTGTGGCCAGCTGAGCATTTAAAACGTGGCTTGCTGTGTGTTCAATAAATGGTATCCGCATGTGAAATCATTCAGAGCATGCGAGTGTTTTTCTGACTGAAGGCCTGGGTCTGTGTGGACGTGTTAGTCATGCAATTGCCTTTTCTTTTTGTTAGGGTTTATGGTTTCACTTTGTTTGGGTTTGAGGTTTGTTTCTCTTCTCCATTTCTTGGCCACCCTTTTGCTGCTACTGTTCTTTCTCCTCTCTTGTCTTTCCCTTTCAAGATTGGGGCTCAGGAGCAGTTGACTGTAGAGCAGGTTTCAGTTAGGTTTGTGTGGAGGTTTCTGGTTTATTGGTGCCTTGGATTCTTTTCCGGTTGCTTCGTGGCATGACTGTTGCTCTTTTATTTATAATTTTGGCCTGTCTTTTGTTTGGGATCAAGGAGGTGTTATTTTTCTTGTAGGTTGAGCTCTACAACACTAGAGTAGCATCAATAGAACCTTTTGGTGTTTACTTAGGCGTGGATAGCATGCAAATCCACCATTGATTTGGTGTTGCAGAGCGAGATGGTGTACTAGAGGATCCTCAATGCGAACACAATGGTCGGGTATCAGATGATGTATGTGTCTGGGTTTTCTAAGTGGAGGGCTGAATTCAAGGGCTCCGATTGTGGTGGGAGGGTATCAGTTGGAGAATGCAGTTGAATTTGGGTACTTCAGGACTGGGGTTCAATTCTTTGTTCTTGACCAAACAAGCAACGTGCTCCAACTTCAACCTGCATCGTATTCACAGAGGGTCCTCATAATTGTGAAGTCTAATACTCATGCTTTGAGGATGGATTGAGATCTGCTGCTTTTTTTTTTTTTTTTTGGTTTCTAGATTAACACGTGTATTTACAGACATATAATAGCATTGGGCAAACATTTCTACTTTTTCATCTTAACAGATTCCCAAGTGACATTGAAAATCTGAGAAATCCATTTGAAATTTGACATGAGTTTTGCTTATTTTCTTGCAGGTTGAGCTTAGAATTATGAGGTGTCACATTAGCATCTGTCTTGCAACAACCAGTTGCTGCTTTCCAGATTTGTAATAGACTTCTCCAACTTTCTGCTTGGTCTGCCAGTAATATTTACAGGGTCTGCTCTTTGTCAATCCATATAATTAGTTGGTTGAAGACTTCTGTAATCCATCAAGCTGGTTGCATATTTAGTCAAATTTCATAGTTGCATCAAGTTGATATTAAATAGAATGGATTGGTGAAACAGGATTTATGTAGCTAACCCCATATAGTTGGGGTAAGGCATGGATGATGATGACTGATGCGATGCAATCTCTTCTGAAGTTCATGTAATATATTGTATTGCGCAGCTAAGTATTTGGCAAAGATTAATCTCCAATACCCAACGTACTGCTTTGTTTCACAAGCAATTGTCAAAAATCACTTATTCCATGTTCTCCTTATCCCTTTAATGATGCAATGCATTAAATGATAAATCTCACATTGTTGAGCCTGGTATTGTTGTTAGGGACCAGACCACAATGGCCACCCTGATTACTCTCTTGCCATACCTCTTCCTTGTGGCTTCCCTATTTATGCTGAAGAGTGGGCATTCTTCCATAGAGTGAAATTTGCACTTGACTCATTGTAAACTCTGATGTTGGAACTGATAGCCCATTTGCTTCAGGGGAATAGGGGTTTGGAGTCAGAATCGGCCATTCCAATTTTAACTGTTTGGTTGGGTGGAATCAGAATCCCATTTTCATTCTTGGTGGAATGGCATTCCCCCATCTAAGGGAATCTGGGAATGGCCAATCTCACCCCCTCCCTTGGAAATGAAATCTTATTCCAGCTGATTCCAATTTCTGTCTGAACTAAACATATGGAAATGAACAATTCCAATTCGGATTCTGAGGGATTTGGACTAGGAACCAAACGGACCCATGAAGGAAAGACTGCTTTCCCTTCTGCACATGAAATTGCAATATTATATGCCCTTTCTTTGAACTACCATCGATTGTACTATCAAAGATAAGTACTATGGTCAATTGTAACGACGCCTTAATTTTTTTCTTTTTTCGAACACAACCATCAATGGGCTTTTTATTGCTTGGTAAATGATGACGCCTGATCATGTTACCAGCACATGGCAGCTACTGAATTGTGTTGATCATTTTACACAGTTGGGCAATTGGTTGCCCAATTACCACAGCAAAAATATTCATTAGTTTGCATTCCTTCTTTTCACAGATTATCCATCAGTGAGTCCTCAATGAATGTTAGGAGCTCAACAAAATTGTCTCAACCAGAGATTTGCCTCACCCGTCAACAGGCATGAAAATCAGTGTGAACTCTGAATTCCATATTCCTAGTTAACCTACTGAGCCCTTCTTCATTTAGGGCCCTGCTAAAGTTTTGTTTGACTATAAAAAGTGTTGCTGCTTATTGGGTTCGAGATGAAGTACAGTTTTTTTGCTAGGTGAGATGAAATAATCGAATAATCGATGAGCAATTGTATCGAGACACCCACCAAAAAGCAGAAGACTGTTCTTGAAAGCCAACAGGGGAATACAATAGAAAAGCCAAAACTTTTCATACAAAGATATGACTTCAGGAAGGGGTTACGTTCTGAAAACCTCTTCCTAAAGAAAATTCCACTTCTCTTCCGATTATGAGACCAAAAGGTCCAAAACCATCAAATCCAATCAGACTGAGACCATTTGCTTGTTGGGTCTTCGAAATCGTTTCCCTTTCCTATGATTTTTGGCCTCTTCTATGTTCTGTTCTTTCTTGGAGCATGAATTTGTTCAGAGAATTCCATATTGTTTATGGCCTACCTAGTACTTCTTGATAGAAATCCCCAATCCTTCATTTTCGTTCCCATTTTCCATGTCAATTTAGGCTTCCTCCTTTATTGAATTTGTCTAGGAACGCATTGTTACCGAAAGGAGATCCTTGTTTAATAAAATAAGGGTTTAACGGTCGGTGCACGTTGTCAGGTTGTCTTTGTGTTAAAACCTTTGCAGAATTAAAGAAAAACGCCTCAGATTCTTCCTTTCCCTATCATTAAGGTGGTTTTGCATCTAAGTTCATCTTTTCCAAGAGTCTCAGATCAGCATCATCATTAGAATTTGGAATTATCGTAATGGGGAGGAAGTTGCTTCGGGATTTTTGACATTTCTGCAGAGAAAGCTTTCGTTCACGAAAAACCCAGATCACAATCATCTCTGCAAACCGAAATTCTCTTTTGGAGCAGAGTTCTAGTAATCCAGTTGCTTCTTTTATTGCATAACACTGGTTTCGCTTCTTCTCTATTTCGTTCTTAATTCTGTCCCAGTCCCAGAGCAGAAATTCTGTGCAAAAATAACTCACGTTAATTCCACAATGTTACTTTCTGTAAAAGCCCATTTTCCCGCTCCCACCCTGATCTGACACCATTGCATTTGCTTCTAAGGATTTCCTCAGAAGTTGCGTTCTCTCTTTTTAATTCTCACATCATGGGTTGCATACATGGTAAGTGCTGTAGTCGTTATCCATCCTCCTCTGACGGAGATATCCCAGACTCGCAAGAAGTTGGTCCGTGTTGTAGCAGCAGCAACCTCCATGTTCATGGAAATCATGGCGACGCACTCACTGAGAACTCGTTGGAGTTGGCCCTCGTGCCTTCCCACAAGTTCTGTTTGGGGTATTCGGTCCTCACTAAACGAGGCTACTACCCTGACTTTCCTGATAAAGAAAATCAAGATAGTTTCTGCATCAAGACCCAGGTCCAAGATAATCCAAACCTCCATTTCTTTGGGGTCTTCGATGGGCACGGTCAGTTCGGCACCCGGTGTTCGAATTTTGTTCGAGACAGGTTGATAGAAATCCTCTCTAGTGATCCTGCATTGTTGGATGATCCTGTAAAAGCATACACTTCTGCATTTCTAGCCACAAATTCCCAACTTCACGATAGCGAGATAGACGATTCAATGAGCGGTACCACTGCAATTACTGTTCTGGTCAGTGGAAACACGCTCTTTGTTGCAAATGTGGGTGACTCAAGAGCAGTAATGGCGGTCGAGAATGGGAATCGGGTTGTTGCAGAGGACTTGTCACACGACCAGACACCATTTAGGAGGGATGAATACGAGAGAGTGAAGCTTTGTGGGGCAAGGGTTTTGAGTGTCGATCAGGTAGAAGGACTGAAGAACCCAGACATTCAGACCTGGGGTGATGAAGAAAGTGAGTGTGGCGATCCCCCAAGGCTGTGGGTACAGAACGGGATGTATCCTGGGACTGCATTTACCAGGAGTGTGGGCGATAGTACAGCTGAGAAGATTGGTGTAATTTCTGTTCCCGAGGTATTGAAGATTCAGCTCACACCTAACCACCTGTTCTTTGTGATTGCAAGCGATGGTGTTTTCGAATTTCTCTCCAGCCAAGATGTTGTCAATATGGTAAGACCCATGAGCATTAGAGAAAAGGAACTTTCTTCAGCTTGTTTTACTGATTTATGGTTCCAATGCTTTATCTTCACATCCAAATGGTGGTGAACAATCTGCAATGTATTTCCTTTTTCTTCTTCTGAATTTTGTTATTTTCTTTTGTTCACTCCAATATCTTGCATCTTGATTGGATGGATTTCTCCAATTTCTTGTTGGGGTTTGGAGGGTCATTGGCTTAATCTTTCTCAATTTCCACTTTCTTTGCACATTGGTAGAAATATCTATAGGATTACTCAACTTGAAGCAAAGCATGTGAAAAGAGAATACAATAGGCATACCATTATGCAATGGAAAAAAGAAAAAAAAAGCTCAAATAAAGTAGGTCTAAGAAGTGATTAGTGATTACTATAAATATGGCTTCTAGACATCAAATGGGACCGTTTGCATATATCAGAAACTTAATGTTTAATTTAGCATCACCTTCAGCTTCTCTGTTGTTAGTCTTTTTGTGCAGCATAGCATGGGCAAATTCTTTAAATTATCTGCTTGGTTTACTGTGCATTCAGTATCAACCACTCATCCTCGTGAAATACATGTTAATTTTTCATTTCCTCCTATTCTCAAAACCCTAAAACCTAAATTCTCATTGTCTTCATCCATAATTACCTAAAATTTACAAGGCTTTCTTTTCTTTCCGTTAGATCTTAGAGATAAAAGAGTATTTCCTCTAGTGATTTTCTTCACTGGCAAAGTCCAATAGGTGGAAATCCTATGGATTGTGTGCTGATTGTAGCTCATGGTTCATGAAAATGCATTTTGCTCTCAGAAATACCTGCTTAACCTGTCTTTACTTTCTTGAATGAATATGGGTTTTGCACAGGTTATATATATATATATATATATCTTTTTTGGTTAAAAAAAACTGGGGTTAGAGCTGGTAGGCGTTTTCTGCTTCTTGTCTGGCTTTCTCTTTCCTGCATGGTTTTGTATATGGTATGGTTTCCCACTAGGCATGTTAAATGGCAGAAGATGGAAGTCCACAGGAGATGTCTCCATGTGTCAAGGACACCAGATATGGGTTCAAAATCAAAACCCATCTACATTGATTAAATTTAGTCAAAGGGAGTGTGTCTAGGTGCTACCTAGGAGTGTGTTACCAACCATTTCCCTAAAAAAGAAAAGGATGGTGGAAATGTTACCAGTGGAGACATATGCATATGTATCTATGTAACTATAATGTGTATATATGCATGTGTAATAGACCATTTTCAGGTTATTTCTGTGGTAGTGTTCACACATCTATGCAATGGAACCCTCATTCCACCCCNCCCCAACCCCCAAAGGAGAAGATCAACTGAATATTCTTTACCTAAATATGGAAAATGGGTGGAAATAATGGAAATAAACATTTTATTGGTATTACTTGATCGTTTTTCTCACATCAGCCTAATCAGTGCTGGTTGTTTCAGTGTTGTTTGTATGGTGTGTACAGATCCATAGCAATAAGCTTATGTTCCTTTTCTTTTTTGTTAGTTTTGAACATTGTGGGACCAAGATAACTGAGTTTGGAATTATTCATACCTTCTATCAGTGGTGGTATCTATTTTTGTTTATGTCTTTCCGAACTTTGTTGTACCCTTTACAAATTCCCCATTATTTTCATATAGGTGATGGGATATACAGATCCTCAAGATGCATGTGCTGCCATTGCTGGAGAATCATATAGGCTATGGTTAGAGCATGAAAATCGAACAGACGATATCACAATCATCATTGTACATATTAAAGATCTAACTAATGTATGAAGGGGATAAGTATTCCTCTCGCCACTGGTTTTAGGTGCAAATGAAATCAGATGTCCCATCAGGTGGTGGTGGGTGGACTGTAAGCCTATAGTGGTTTAGTCATGTTGTGATAAGAATGCAGAGGAGTGACACTGTGACACCACCTGCTGGAGATGGCTATTTATTGCAGTTAATCTCTACTGAAAGGTTGTTTGCCAGATGTTTTTGTGAGTTCCATTAGTCAGGTTCTGATGCTACTGATGGAACAAGTGGAGACGTGGAGTTACCAGCAAATCAGCTCTGTTGATGATAGGAGAAGGATTTTCTGAAATACCTGTTTCCACCAGATCAGAAGTATACTGTTGAATGCAACACAATTTTCAGAATTGTAGCCTTGTCAGCTTAATATTCTCACAAAACACACTGCATGCATGGTAAAATCTCTTAACACATCTTACTTGCTTGGAAATGGTTGCTTCCTCGTTCTGTGCTGAGTTCCTCATTGTTTCCACTTCTCTCTAATTTAAGACTGGTTTTTCTTTTTCATTGGCAGTAATAAAGTTACACGGACTTCAAGTAGTTGCCTTTCATCGCTCATTTTACTACATAAAGGGTACCAACATGCTATTCACAAATAGAAATCATGAACTTTGTTTAAATCTTTTTTCTTTTGGTTTGGGGGGGAGGGGGGGAGATGCATTTAAATTTCAATTACATGCTTTGTTCATCGTGTTTGTTTGTGTGTTCTGTGGAGAGTAAGCAAGAGAGTACCAGTTGTATGATCCTAAAATTAACAAGTTTTTTATCAAGTGAAATTTCCATTCATTAGAGTCTTTGTTGCTGAATCATGTTCTTTTGGTCATGACTCTGAAGTTGCATAATATCTTGTTTAACACTTTAATTTGCAAGAAATCTTATCTTTGTAGAAATACTAACTTATCAAATCATGGGTGGAAGATCTCTCACAAGTTTGTGGCCCCATCCCCCTGGTCTAATGAAGATATGGAACTCTTTTTAAATTTCTGGCTATAGGATGCATTTTTTCCCATCTAGAAGTGGCAGACAACAAAGGTTTTGCGGCCAAAGGGGCAAAGATATAAACAAAATATCTCGAAGTAAAAAAAAAAAAAAAAAAAACTCCCACCGAAAAAAACGAAGCTAAATGAAAGAGCTTAAAACCGGACCGGATCGGTCATGTCTTGTGAAATGCCTTACAAAATCTGGTCATGTCTTGTGAAATCCAACTTTTTATTTATTTTAGTCTTTCTGTTCCGATTTGGCATAGGAAGCAAGATTTTTTCTTGGTAATTAATTACCAAGGTTTTTAAAACCGGACCGGACAGGAAGCAGTTCTGGGCTCTGGTTCCTGGGTCAAATGGTCTGACTGTCTGATCCGAATGGATTACCCACTGACAAAAAAAAGTCAAACTATTATCCGAGTTGACGGTTCGACTGTCCAAGTCAGCGATCCGTTGACTAAATCAACGTTTTTTTGCCAAAAAAAAATGGTTTTGGGGTGAAATGGAACCAGTCAGGTGACTGATTCCTAGTTTTTCTGGTCCGATTTTGAAAACACTGTAAATTAAGATAGATTCCATCCTCTACAACTGTTCCTAGTTTTCTTTAATTTACCCACAAGCATGCCTTAAAGATTTCATCCTCCACAATTCCCTAGTTCCTCTTCATATGTTGCTTTGAGATTTAGAGCTTATGTAACCTTCCCTAGATAGCTTAAAACGATTGCCACAGAACCAAATATTGTGGAACCGATTCAAATTCACCACAAATGAAAACGTTACCTTAGAAATTAGAATCATCTAAGAACTTGGGTGCTTTTTAAAATGGCTGCCGTTTTTTGGGCCGTTGGCTTGCCTTGATTAGCAGAACAATACCAATGCAACAAAAGGTCGAGGTAGTCTTTTACGTAGAATTAGAAACCTGTTTAGATTTAGAAAAAACAAATATTGATGTGGTAATGAAAATGTTCTACTTTACCATTGTAATTGTTCTCTAATTTAAGTGTATTTGTAGTTTCAATTTGCTGTTGGAGGAGGCATTACTGCAACTCCCATGTTAGATAAAACTAGTTGGGCTATGAGTTCAATATTCTGGGATTGATAATTCCCAACCCAAGTCTAGACTAGTTTGAGATCAGACAACATAAAAAAAAAATAATGGTGTGTATATTAAGATGGGAAACAAACAAGCTCTTGGCATGTTTTCCCTTATTCTGATCAATTTGTGATTCTAAGTATTCTGACTAATTCTTCTTCTGTAATCAAAATTTATTTACGAAGTAACATTTAAATAAAAAATTGCCTAATGTAAATTTTCATTTAAAGAAGCCATGTTTGTTGTTTCCCAACTCGCAGAGTGCGTCTTCAGCGAAAAAAAATAAAAAACAAAACTCGCACAGGGCGTCAGTCGCCAAGATGATTTCGTCGCAGCTATCATGGTGGAGCCTGTTCATATCTATATCCCACCATAACGATTCCAAGAAATCTGCACATAAATAAATTATAAATCAATAAATCAAATTCAGCTTTACATCCTATGGAGTGTGGGCGTTCACAGTTGGAGAAAGTTCCCGGCTCCCCTAACTGAAAATTTGGTCATGAGGTGACACAGAGAAGTGAACCTTTCAAATCTAAGACTGCCCATGGTTGGAAACCTGTAAGACATATCTGTTAGCCGACAAGATTGAAACCCCAAGAGGTTAGTAGTCAATTGTAGACAGGCGTGGTGGTGTGGGCCAAGTTGCAATCCTTCGGTCTATTTGGGTAACACCATTTTACTAGTTAAACCGAAAACTTTCTTTCTTATCGAGTCGCTTTGTATAGGGTATAGGCATTGACACCAAAGTGATTAAAAATTAATTCATGGCATGCTTAACAGTCAAAACTTAGGTGGCTTTTGAAAATCTAAATAGTCCATCTTAAGTTGATTTGACTAAATAAAAAAGGTTGGTTGATTTTAGTTTGCATCCATATTCTTTTAAGAATCATCTTAGCCAACCGAGGGGTGGCTCAGTTGATATGTTAGCTGGTTTATTCCCACAAAGATGAGGATACAAATTCCGCTACCACCAAATTTGGACTACTCAAACGGGCCCCAAGTGGCTTCTTAGATTCAAAGCCATATTCTCACACACTTGTCAGTCCAAGGTTCTACAATTACACCAAACAATGGCCCCTTTGTTCAACATTCCATAGCCTATGGAAGAAAAAAGAAAAAAAAAAACAAGGGATGGTCTCTATTTTATTAATGTAAGAGGGAGATGCAAAGACAATTATGTGTATGTTAAGACAAAGTATAGGAGAAAACAAACATATGAAGGAATAAAGCCCTTGTTTTTTGATTGCAACATATGAAGGGAAGCCCATGTTATTTTGAGCACAATAGATAAATAAAGGAGAGAATATTAAAGTATGCTCGTTACAGAATGAAAGAAAATGTATCAGACCCTTATTTTAGCTTAGCAAGATAGAGTCAAACAATTATGAAGGATTTAAAAAAAAAAGAAGGGAAAAAAAAAGGAAAATTACATTTTATGGCTCTCCAAGTTGAAAATTGGTCATTTGTGATGCCCTTTTATACCCCCTTTACTCCATTTATACAATATGATAGGGTTTATCTGCATTACAAGGAGAATTATTAGACCCCTTATATGGAAACACCAAAACAAGACACATGGAAATCCAAAGACAATGCCTTACTGCCTAGGTGTTGCCTTGACAACCATGAGAAAGACTAAGAGTGGTCTCAAACAAACCAGCCAAATCTATAATTTTAGATTTTAGAATAACTAGCTTTGCCTACCTAGACCTAGTTCAGAGGCTCCTTTTTATTATTAAACTGAGCTTTCTCAGACTCTTCATGTGCCACTCAGTAAAAACATCTATGTTGCACCAAAACACCATACTATGGAGCTTTCAATAGCTTCTATGCTTGAAACAAACCATCCAATGGAAACCATTAGCTCTGAGAATCTCTCATTCATAAAATCAGAAAAATACAAAGGGCAAATACGATAGGATAGGGACAATAAACATGAAGTCAGAATCCATAATTCCATCTTTCAGTAAACAGGAGAAAGAATTCTCATAATGGCCAACAACCATAAAAAGAACTATCATGAGAAACAAATGAATCAGCATCTCATGCATCTAAGAGATCGAAACCTAACATTATTAAGACTAAATGCCTCAAGGCTCATCCTTATAGCAAAGAGCCAAAGACTAATAATCTGTAAGAAATTACTCCACTCCATACAAATATCGTTGTTCATTACATATAAGATTCAAAACTCTTGTGGAGTTCTCCATGAGGGGCAAAGTTTATGCTATTCTAGTATTACATGAGAATGAAGTTGTTGATGAATCAAGAGAAATTGAAAAGCTGCCAGCATAAAGGATGGCATTCCTAGTATTTCCTTGACCCTCGGAAACAGTTTCCAATGTAAGCAATAATTTAAGATAAAATGCATTATGCAGTCCATATAATCTCACTTACAAGTTTGCTTGGTGCCAGGTGGATTGGTACAAATATTAGTTCCCTTTGTCATTCTTTTTGTTCCTTCTCTCATGGCATGCCTTTAAAGCTTGAACTTCTGTTAAAAGTAAATTAAAAACAAACATCTGATCCATTTAATATATGAGCTACAAAATTGGCATTTATAAAAGCAAGAAAACAGTACACCTCGTCAAAACTGAAAGACAAAGAAACCTAAATTTGGCTACCATAATCAGAACAACAGGACACTTAACATAGAGAGACAAGTCTATGGGGGGAAATTTAGGATTTGGATCCTTTTATTCACATTCTACTTGGCATCTGAAAAAAAGTTGAAACTATTCTTCTCTTTCCTTTTTCTAGTTTTTTCTTTTTTCTTTTTTTCCTTCCCCATGAGAATTATAAATGACAATATACATCCATGTTCCATTAGCTGACGAAAGCCAAAGACAAGTAGTTCTACCAAATGCCCATAAGAAGAGCAATGACCTATAAGAAAATATATAGTAAACCATTTCAAAAGCAGCAATTTCGAACACATAATCATGGTTGAAATCGAAGAGAATATGATAGATGAAATGAGGATGAAAAATGAAAACACACCCTTCTGGCAAGATTTCCAATTCCTATTGTTTTCAACAAGACAGTCCTGCAAAATATTACAATGGAATCTTGAAATTCTCAGAAACAGTGAAATTGACTTCTGGCCTAGGGTTTCAAACCCAAAGAAACTAGAACCCAAAACTACAACATTACCTGTAAGGAGAGGTAGAGGGCGGAGCATTCTTTGAGCTGCTTAACGTTCTCATCCTCTTCGTCTGCATCGGTCTGGTGAAGGGGAGGAGGTAGGGAAGACGATGGGGGCTGGAAGGTTGCCTTGGATTTTGTTGGGTCCATTTTAAATCTTCCCTCCGGAGGATCTCTTTCGTTGTTTTGTGATGGAGAGAAAAGTTACGACTGCTGAAGTGCTGAGTACTGGCCAAACCATACCTTTGCCCAACTGGTCAAAAACCAAAACAAGTCAACCGGTTAATGGTTAGTTCAGTTCGGTTCCGGTTTGAACATTTTTAAAAACCAAAGGACGGGTTTGATACAAGGCTAATTCATTTAATATTATAATACTATATTAATGGAAGAATGACGGTTCAGGCCAGGGTCAGAATTTTTAGGCCCAAAGTACAGTTGGGGTATGTATAGAGTGGGGGTGTTTGACATTTTGAATGTTTATAGGTCTGCAGTGGAATTCAGAAATCTGCATTGAGCCTGTCCATACTTTTCCGTATTCTATCTTAGTTTCTGGGTATGACCATCTGGATAGGAGTGTCAATTGGATCGGATTTGGTTGAATCCAATCTGGTCTAATATGAGTTCATTACAGATGGATTAGGTCCAATCCAATCCAACGAATACTCTAGACTATTTTAGTCAAGTTGAATACAATGTCTGGATCGTCCCAATCTGTTCAATTTGATTTAAATTAGATTGATTCTAATCCAAACCTGGTCCATTGACACCTATATTCTTGTCTTCTATTTATGGACATGATATTAGTTCAATACAACCCAATCCAATATAAATCCATTATGGATGGACTAGGTTCAGTCCAATCCAATAAACACTTTGGGTCATTAAGTCTGGATTAGTCCAATTCAATATGTTCTATTGGTCCATCCAATCCATCTAAATTGATTTTGACTTGAATGGGTCCAACCCAAAACCAGTCCATTGACACCCCCAACATCTAGGTAGGGAGGGGGTGACTTGTTAGAACTTTACAATTTACATATTGATGATACCATACCATTAGGAGTGGATTCGAGCCGAGCCGAATAGTACCAGGCTCGAGCTCGACTCGAGACTATTCTATAAGGCTCAAGCTCGAGCTCGAGCTCGGCTCGGCTCGGCTCGGCTCGGCTTGGCTCGTTTTATATTTTATAAATATTTTATTATAAAAATATTTTAT